AACAAAAATGAATTTAGGGCTTTTCTTGTAAACTCTATAACTTTGCAAAGAAAGGTCGTGTAGAGCTGGGAGATGCCTCGTTTTAATCAGAAATTTATGGACTAAAATAACGCCTCATTAAGAAAGCTTTTGGTTGTTGTTTAGAGTTTCTCGAAAGCTGGTTTTCCAGAAGATCGGTCTTTGAAGGCCTAGCAGCAGCGTTTATGGTGGTATTCGGAATCAGCATCGTCGACTATCTATAGTCCACTCGGTTTCGTTGAAAAAGCGATTTATCAGTTGGGGTACTTCCCTCGTTAGTTTTTGCAGTTTTTTCTAAAAACAAATATTGCCCCAAGATTTAGAATAGTCGAAAACCTATGCGTAGATTAGCATAGATGTCAGTGTATGTTCTGCATATTTTGAAACTATAGGTTGCTATGGAAATCCATGAACCGCCATCGTTAGCTACAGGAGATCCATCAGGTGCAGCATCTGCAGACGGGATTTTGAGTCTGTCATTTTTACTAATAGATTTTCCCCAGTATCTTCTATATACTGGCGAAATCATGTCTCTTTATTGCTTATGTATCAAACGTTATTCTGAAAGGAGTTTCTGCATTATATTTTTTACGGATAATAGTTAGAGATTGTTTAATACATAAAAATGATATGTAAATAGCAACAGTATCAATAGAGGAGCTACCACGTAAGGCACCACAATCAGCGCGAGTGGAATGGTAAAACGCGTTGATTATGGTATATCAGGTCCTTCGAAAAATGCTGGGTAGGTCGCTACTGCCCTCCTGCGGCTAACGATCGATTGCTGTTAAATTTTCTTTATTTTGCAAAACCGAGCGATATCTTTTCTTCAAAAAGTGGATGACTTAAAACCCTTTCATCAAAACAATATTTAAAAGTCAGTTCGTTCTATGTTCTGTGTAGTTCGATGTGCGGTATTCAACCATACAGAGAAAACAATCACAAAAAACTTAACTCAGTTTTTGAACGATGGTGCTTTATATGTTTTTCAGGTTTTTGAGTATGTTCCCAGTTCTTAGAAATAAAATCTTTTCAAAAAACAAATCAGTCTGCTTCGAGAAAAAGATTCTAGTAGTTTTGAAAAAGAAAGGTGCAGCATCTTCGGAAGATGTTACACTGTTATGGCGAACAAAGTCAATTTCTTTTGTTTCTATCTGAACTTGTTTCACTTCAGACTGACTGTGAGACCTAGAATAATTTATATGATTAACATTTTCAATAATTAGTTTTGTCTTAAGCCGAGATTTGAAAGAAGTTGTAAATTAATTTTTTTAAGAATCGAGAAACACAGTTTTGCATTTGTCAGCCAAAGACATTTTGCCGAAAATATTAAAGTTTCTAGGATTTAGCTCGAGATAACAGTGGACTATAGGGAAGCGAAGTGAAGCAGATTCGATACAAAATTCTGGCTTATGACAACTGTGATAGTCTTCGGTAAGTTTACTGTGTGAGATACGGGGCAAAAGAAAAGTCGCAAGTTTTCCCACAATCACCGTTTAGATGAAAAAAAAGATATAAGTTAGCTCCTTGGATGTTTTTTGAATAGTTTTAACAATGCACCAAGCTGCTCGATAAATATGACCACCATTTATGTTTATACGGAAGAAACAATTATGATAGATATTCCGACGGATGATAAAGATGGTGATATTGTTCGATGTCATATGGACGATGGATTTTTATGTGAACAGTGTACTTTGCATTATCCGTGTCGATTGGTATATCATGCTTCATACTATAATCAGTCTGAAACAATTAATATCATTATAGAAGACTTTGAACCTTTTTCACATCTGCCATTGTCATTCGTTACTTTGCAACTGAAAATTAAAGTTGTTGATAGTGGTCATAGTCAACCACCATTATATGTAGGTGATCGACCAGATAATAGTTGTATTGCTGCACAACCGAATACTGTTGTTCGTGAAAGATTTGTTTTTGAAGTCGGTCGTCCAGATTTAAATTTAATTGATATTTCAATAAATCCACCATTATTTGGTTTAATTAAACATGAAATTACACGATCGCGGGATCAAATCTATTTCATGTTTATTGAATGGAGACCAACAGTCATTGGCACTTACCATATCTGCATAACTGGAACTGATTCATTTTCACAAACAAGCCATCCTGCATGTCTTACCGTTCAAGTTGATGACACTGATATTGAAACCCCAGAATACATACAATCAACACAACAACCGAACAATACAACCAGTATCTCACAATATCAACAAGTTTGGACAATACAAATCACAAAGCCGATTTACCGACCAGTAGCGACAAAACGTCCAACTTTTATACGATTTATTAATAGAAATACAGAACAATCTGTTTACGATATAGATATTGAAACCAGTTCCGATGTTTTCTATCAAAATCAAACTCTCATCTTCTATACAAATTATATATTTATTCCCGTAAGTTCACCATTTTGATTGTTTTAAAGATAGATCTTGTCAATATCACAGGTATCTATCTTGTTTGTGTAACTGTGCATTTAAGAAAAAGCGTTTGACACAATTGAAAGGATGATCATTTCGACACTTCAGCTGATAAGGAAAGATCTCTAACTGTATCCTGGAATTTTAATTATGATTAAGCCTTTTGGTTCATTATTCGTTCTAAGTTTGAAATCCGACAAAAGTTTTGGACACTATTGTTTCAGAAAAAAAGTTGAGGATAAGTTTTTTCCACGGGTGCATTCCATCCAGCTAGATTTCGGTTTGTAAAATTTATTATTTTGAATGTGAGGGTGATATATACTCGAAAATGCGCCGTTCTGTAGAATAAATCTCACTTTTAACTAAAATAAATTTTAGGTCAATATTATCTTTCCATTAAAATAATAGATTTACAAACCAAAATCTGACTTGATGGAATGCATGTACAGGGAAAAGAGCTTTATCCACAACTTCTTTTTGGAGCAATAGTGGCCAAAACCTTTTTCAAATTTGAAGTCCACATCGAAAACTGAGCAAAATTACATTTCAAGGTGGGATCTTATTTTGAATGTCCCTAGTACAGACAAAAATGCTTTTATTACTTCATGCCAAGCCTTGCTAAATCGCAACGCCCTTGTCGTACATTTGCTTGGGTATACACCCTACTACTGATGCAGTGTAACGAGGAAGTAGCTTGAGATATTAAAAATAAGACCTCTAATAGCTTAAAGCACAACCGATATTCGGAATAAAGATTATGATAACCAGTTTAATGTAGAGAATTTAAAGCTTAATAATATACATAAATCAAATTTTAGACTTCTAATTATCTTTAACCTGTGAAAGCTATTATCCGTGAGGCACCTATCGAATCTAAAATACTGTGTCGAACTGATTTTTTTTTCTTCTTGGAATAGAGTTCATTATATTACATAACGTTTGACAGTGGCGTGTTGGAAGGTAATCGTACAAGTTGTGCTGAATCAAAACCACATTTAGATTATACATTTTGGTCTTTCTTTGTTGACCTGTCTTGCACTCGCCAATGTAGACATGGTATTGCTGATTGTCGAACATCAACATGTCGGTGTATCGATGATAATCGTTTCACCGGAGTTGACTGTGAACAATGTCGACCACCCTACTATGGAAAATTTTGTCAGAAAATACCATATGTATTTTCAATCGATCCATCAACAGTTTCAGAGCTTGAAACCAATCAAACATGGAATTTGACAATTAATGGTGATAATTTTAATTTAACGTCTCCGTCACATTTATCATGTAGAATCGGTGATAAGACTGTTATACCATTGTCAATAAGCAATACGCAAGTAGTATGTTCAGTAAATCATACAAGATCAGCTGCACTATACACTGTTTATCTCCTTACCGATAATGGAAAAATAATAGAAAGTGTTGGATCTATACGTTTACACGTTATAGCCGACTGTCCTGATTACGGTTGTGTTCAAGGTCAAGGTCGATGTGCTTTTGGTTCATGTTTGTGCGTATATCCTTATACTGGAGCAAACTGTAGCATAGCACCAGTACCTCCAATGCTTAAATCATTCCCAAATCTAACTTTAGCGGAGCAAATATCATTCAGTTTAAATCTAACAGACTATTTGATTCAGGGCGAAAAACCATTAAAATGGTTGCTGGAGAGTAAACTCCGGAGCCACATAAATTTAGCATCAGATTCTACTATACTCATATGGCCAGCACCAGTTCCGAGTTCTGAAAGGTACAAGGTCACGGTTATTGTGGAGCAAACATCAACAGGAACAAGAGCATTACAAATGTTTTATATTCACGTGCCATTCACGTACAATATTTCAGTTAAATTCATCGACGAAATTGCAAATTCCATTCTCGTTCAACCATTTCCACGTCTACGTATTGTTGGACAAGTTCAACCATTTGATAACAGTTATAATTTAACAACACCACAAATTAGTGTATGGATTGTAGTGAACAATAACAGCAACATGCGTCGTTATTTACCATCAATGAATTTATTGAACTCAACACATTTTGAAACTCATTATACTCCATTGAGTATGGAATTTGGAGTATTATCACTAGGCGGTTCACATCTAATGTTGAAAGGAATAGATGACAATTTGGTTCAAGATAGTCTCATACTGTTTGGTATCAAAATTATCCCTTACAATAATTCTGTTTTAAATCTAACCAGTGAGATCATACACAATTTTCAAACAGTTGCACACTTAATCAATCCCACGCCAATAGATATTCAAAACTTAACCGTACATCTGGCACAACCATCAAATGATTTATTCAGTTATGAATTAATATTAAATTGCACCAAAAATAATCATACCATTAGCTATACTAATTTTGAATTAGTTGGTAATACAAGTAAAATTTTGTCGAATGATCAATGTGGAATTAGTTTAAGTATATTATTTCACGAGCCGTACAGCGGTTTAATAGAATTTTATTTTGGTTCAACAACAAACATGACCATTCAAACATCTTTAAACTTACAGGTTAAAGTAAGATCATCGGAAGTAAAATTGAATATAGAACCGAATTTGATTGAACGTAAAGTAAAACGTGGAAGTTTTTCGTATGCTGAAGCACATGTTTTTAATCGTGGTTCACAAACATCACCAATAATCGAAATTCAAGTACCACAAAATCAAACATACATTCAACCATTGTCACGTCGTCTTCCACCAATAGCTTCTGATGATTGTGCTATACTAACATTTTCAATTAATATGCCTAATAATACAACACTAGGAACTGAAATTAGAATTACATGTGTAGTTGTAGATACGTCTAGAAACATTACTGCATCAGTTACATTTCGTCTAACAGTCGTTAGTGAAGCAAAAATCAATGTGACATTTTTAATTGAAAATCAATTGTCTCATTCCTTACTAAATAATCATCCTTATGTAAGCAACGCAACTATTCGAGTCGCCAATCCAAACCTTAAAGTTGATCATAAGTTGATAAGTAATGAACATGGACAAACATCGTCGATTCAACTCGAAGCCGATACTTACATGATATCCGTAGAGGCAATGAAACACAAATCATTCTCAATTTTTTATACATTATTAGCAACTGAGTTAGGACAGAAAATTGTAATAAGTTTACAAAAAGAAATCGTATCATATGAATTGATAGCAAAACCATTTAGTAACGATGAATTAGATATTGATTTAGAAGCTATATTTGATAAAACTTTACCAATACCAATCCTAACATTATCACCAAATTTATTTAAATTGGATCAATTAGAATCTGAAATGAATATGAATAAAGTTGACTTAATATTAACCAATAATGGTGCCATACAAACTGATAATGTAAAAATAGAATTCCCATCAAATCATCCGTTTTTAAAATTTAAAATTTTACAGGAACCTATTAGTAGTATACCACCGAATTCGTCGATTATTATCACTATGACGATTGAACGTTCAACAATAGCATCTGTTCTACGTAATAGAACTTGTACATTAAAATCAAAATTAACATGGGAATATACAACCGGTAAACGACAACTACAAGAGCAGGCACCTTTGCCGCTATTTAACGGTAAAGACTGCGCTCCTTTGATCCCTGTGGATGAAACACCAAGCATGTCTGAATGGCAAATACATCGGGAGATTAAATCGTGTGCTGGCCCATTGAGATGTTCAAATGGCATATATCAATGTATACGTGGTTTTGTAAAAGGACAACTTGGCTGCGGTAAGTTTTGCAAAAACTTCACCAAACAAAGTCACCAAGGAACGAGATGAACATAGTATTTTGTTAGGATCTAAAAACTTGTTTTGCAATTACAATCTGATTCTCCTCGGACGGTTGCGTTCAGTTTAAATCTGATTAGATCCGATGTTTTTGGACAACTGGTTTTGAAATAACCTCAACATTAAGGTATAGCGGTTGCAGCGACAGATGAGCAAGCACAACGTTACGGTTACGATAAAGGTTAGAAAATTTTCTAGTCAAAAAAAGGATAAAAAAAATGTGTTTGCATAGAACAAAACTGCATATACTGTTGAAGAAAAGATAAAACATACAAAGTTTGCTTTTTGTTATAAGATCCAGTTTAGATGATGCGTTTTCGTAAAACTGTTTTATTTTCCGATTTCGCTGAATCACAATTGAAACTTGTACAACACAAACTCATCTAGTTTGAGCCATCGATTTTGACTGAGACTCTGTTGTGTCTGAGATACATAAAGGCTTTGGCGTCTTTAAAATTCATTTCTGATATTTTTCTTACAGCAAATCGTCGTCTAGCATCCATAGCAATGATGTCATCCTCCGACTATAAGTCGCTAATTATTTCTCTTGGATTATTATGTAATACTACGGCAAGTTCAGGAGATGAAATACCAACAATTGCCACTAGTCAATGGAATCCGCATCTGTGTACAAGCAATATTGACAAATTTTGTTTGAATAAAATAAATCGAAGAAGTGTTTCACCAACTGTAACTGTTGCAAACGATTTACAGTCTATCCTACAGGCCATTAATAATTATCGGCAAATCTATACTGTGTTGTTTGGCTCAGAATTATGGGCATATGTACAAGACAGCAACTGGTTTCGAACGTTTGCTCAAGCAATTTCATCGAATGAATCACTCAGTGACAAAGAATATAAAATACTGACGATGGTTTTACCATATGGAATAAATTTAACATCAACACAAGAATTTTTATCTCATTATAATCAAACATTACATGATTGGTTAACAACAAATAAATCTATTAAATTATCTAACCATTTGAGACAACTTCAAGAAGATTTTCACTTTATACAAAACAAAAGTTATAACGACTTTTTTCAAGCATTTTACGCTATATATGAAAATTTTCAAAAATCAAGTGAACAACAACATAATTCAAATCCACTCTGTACTAAAATAGGAATACAATTACAACAACAGGTGGTAGTAACCAGTCAAGGATTTAATGCGAGCTTAAAAATGTCTAATTTAGGTAATGCATCCATTACGAATATTCGATTCTGTTTATGGATTGAAGATGGTCTAAATAAACATGATGATCGTACATCGTTATTTAATATTAGTCAACCACAATTCGCTGGTTCGTTGACGTCAATTTCGGGTAACGACCACATATCACCACAACTTGATGGTTCTGTTACGTGGTGGATTATTCCAAATGTTACTGCAGCTCAAATCGTGCAAAAAACATATCGTCTTGGTGGTAATTTATCGTATGGCATTGAGGATGAAATTATTGAATTAACAATCTATTCTGAAATCATTACAATATTACCTGAAGCAGAATTGCATATTGCTTACTTTTTGCAAAAGAATGTTGTTGCTAATGAAGAAGCAATTCTAGCGATGCTAATTTCAAATAGCGGTTACGATCAAGTGAAAAACTTTCATCTAAACAGTGGTCATTTAAAGCTTATTAATAATGAACATGGTCTCGAAGTTCCATTTGAATGGACATCAATGAAAATCGATCAGGAAATAGTATCATCACCAACATTTTCTTTTAATTTAACTAGTGTGAAATCAATGACAACAACACTTGTAGAATGGTCATTGACAACTCCAGTACACGGAGAGTTTATTAGTTTTGATGCTACCTATACAGAACAAAATTTGATTGGACAAAGACAATTCTCGATAATAAAATCATTAAGAAGTCATATGTTAATACATCGAGTTTCATTGGATATTCTCGACTCACAGCTCGTCGATAATCAACTAGATTTTCTGGTAAATGATCAATTAAATAATGACAATATACCTGATAATGTTTATTCATCAACAAATGCAACATTATTCTTTCCGGTCTATCATGTTCATAATGTAACGACGAATATTTTCTCAGAAAATTCAAACATCAAACTAATCGTTCAGTCTAATGCTGATGGACTGGTGCCTGTTAATGCATATATATATCTTCGTTTGAATTATACTAACTATACCAATTACAAGGTACTTAATGGGTCAAAGCATGTACAAAACGGCAAAAATATTTCAATTGTTATGAATACTTGGATGACAGACGGTTATCTCCATGTGTTCGATCGTCTCTCATCAGCTACTACACAGACATACGAAATCATACTTGAAACAAGAATAAAATCTACAACAACGGTAAAAACTAGTACAACAAGAACTCCGATTGGGACGAATACAACAAAAGCACTAACAAACACAACTTCAACGTCATTATCAACGATTAGGTAAAGAAGTCATCAATATTTTATTTCAAAATTTAACCTTCAGTAAGAATATCTTAACGAAGTCACAATTTTTCTGTTTCTAATTAATAAGATTAAGGAAAGAAATTTTTTGTTTAAAATTTCTGTGCAGAAAATCTCATTGCCGATCCGCTGCCGGTTGTCGATACAGAAACAAATTTTATTCTAAACTTCAAATTGAAAAAAATTAAAAAGAAACCATGAGAGAAGTACGCACAATAACTGTTTTATTTTAATCAACCTTATTTTATCTAAAATTAACAAAGTTTTCAGCATTTCTTTTCCATTTAAGAAAACCTACCCCATTCAGTTACCAAATGGTGAAGTTATGGAATTTCTTTTATCCTTTTGGTACACGGTGTACTTCGGATCTGTTCTTTCTTGTTTTTAAATAAAAACAAATAGGCAGGAGTACATTTTAAAACTACCAAAGACTAAATAAAAAAAACAATATCAGTCGAACCATTTGCTAAATTTACTGAAAACAGAAACTCAATTTCCTATCAAACTATTCCAGGTTGACTTTCTCATTTGATTTTCAGTTCTAACATCACAACGACAGATACAACAAGACCGTCTACTTTGTCTTCATCGGCTCTATCAATAATCAACTCAACTTCGCATTCCGGTTCATCATCAATAACGACAACAAAGCAAATCTCTGTAAACCGTACTGTAACAATCGCACCATCATCAACAGCGACAGTTTTAGGTATCAGTTCTTCTCTGCCAGTAGTTGTTATCAATGATACAAAAGCTTCTACAACAGAGATGATGAGGTCAACGACAACGTTACCAATGGTATTTCGACCAATTCTAAATTATTTTATTGAATTTTTGTTTACTTTGATCATTGATTTGACAAAATGGTTTATGAATAATTTATTGATGATTGAACAACAGCTTTTAAAAGATTTTCACTATGCTGTGTATCTTTCTCGTGCGTCAGAACAGCAGCAAAACCAATATCCAATAAAAACTTCTAACTTAACTTTTACTAGTTTGGAATCATCAGTATATTTAGGTTCTTTATCAGCTATCATACATCTGTTCAATACAGAGTATCGAACATCGGATGATGTGTTGGAAGATTTAAAACAACAATCCTCTATGAATAATTCTAAATTAAAACAAGGACAATTGACGTCATCAGTGACAAATGAATCGATACGAAATATTCAAATATGGTATCAATGTTTTGATACAGGAAAAATTCAAGCCACGAAATGTAATCATTCAATAAAAAATAAACATTCAACAATGTTATCATTAGTAATCTTCATTAGCATGCAATTTTATTATTGGATATAAAAACAAAAAATATACGTTAAAAAAACACATTCGCATACTACAAGAGAATCGACATCTGTTAAAAAACAGAGAGAAGAAGACTTTCTTTATTCAGCTGACCAAGTGCAAGGAATACCCGATATATTGTGAAGCTCACATATCGTCTTAACATTTGAAAGAACCTTTAAGTTATATAAATATTTATTCTAATAAGCGCTTCCCACATAATAATTATCTTTATTTATCCTAACTTAAACGTTTTTATTTGAATTGAAATAAAAACATGAAGACAATTAGGACTAATTCTGTTTTAAATTATCATACAGCTCGAACGAAAACAGATAGTCATCAGGGTAAGTCATATTATATGACATGCCTTTATAAAAAAAATCTTCATCAAGTTCAAATGGGGAAATTTGAAAAAAATTCGATCCAAAGTTTCGGTTTTTATTGACTGTTACGATCTTGTGAGACCTACCTGCTTAAAACGAAGTGAGATTGAGATCTGATTCTTACGCGGCCGGATAGATCATGAATTAAACTTCAGTTTCAATATAAACCGGTCTATAGGCGTCGAATCGACAAATTAGAATTGTTTGACTTGATATCTGAAAAATAATTTAACCCTTTTGGGACCGGATTACTTTTTCGAAAAAGAAGAGAACACCGTCGGATAGAACGGCAAATCTGCCGGCGCTCCGAAATTTTTTTGACATAGCCGGCGTGAAAGATCGCAGTTTCCTGCATAGGTTTCCACAATTGGTATAGCCTTTTATTGAAATTGTTCTAGTAGAAATGGGAGAGTTTCGAAAGGCTCGATATTCGTCCACAGAGGAGAGGGTCACTGTATAGTGTTTTTGAAATATATGATGCGCTTTAACTTTCCACGATGGTTAATCCTATGGTTGGGTGCAGCTTTCTTTCCTCTACAAAACCCCATCAGGCACTTAACCCTTTCAGGACCAACTTATCCCTTTCCGAGCCAACTTATTTTGAGCAAAAATTACAAATTTTTCAACTTTTCAAAAATGATTTATTTTTTCCAGATTCATCTAACCTTCTAGTCATATCTTGAATGAAACTGATGAAGCACAAAAGTGTAAAAACAGCAGATGCAGTGTATACTTCAAAGAGACACGAAAAAAATTCGAACTCTGACGCGTCAGATCACGTGAAATTTCAATGACGTTTTAAAACGTCACCGGTCCCGAAAGAGGTAAGGTACATCGATGCTTTTCCGTAAAAACATAGGAATGCGCCTGTGCGACTTGATCCGAAAGCAAAAAAAATATTGATTCTTATAGAACTTGATCTAGACTACAAACTTAGCTTAATGAAATGTGGCGTATCCTTTTCCCCAGAATAGAAGCCCATCTAATCCTCTTTCTATTTTGTCCAGCAAGTCGAGTCTCTTGCATACACTTCCATATGCATGTGTGTACTTTATCACAAGGCTCTTGCTCAAGGGAACACTATTCAGAAAAACAATACATTTAATTCTTTCTGTTTTAATCCTTTTTCTAAAACATTTCTATCAATTATCGGAAAAAGAAGATCATGGTCGTCTACTTGACTTTCATGTTGTAGAATCGACAGTGGTCTTCTAATAGAGGATAGTCTTCTTTTATGGGAAGGGCTAAGATTGCCCCGTTCTAATCATTTTCTCAATAGCTGAACTTTTGTAAGCAGTTTGGCTAGATACATGCATATTCTTTTCCACGATCATGAATTCGAATTTTGTAGAAACCTGATGTGAAAACAGATTTTCATTCAGGTATTTGAGGAATTTAATTTTATTATTATTTTATCTTAATATTTCAGACATCCGTTTGCTGTTTAGATCTTGAAGAATAGCAAAATACTTTTAAGACAGATTTCGACATCATCTTATTTTTTTAAAACTGAGTTGGAATATTCATTCTACAAGTTTGTCGTGCTCTTGAGTGTGACCGTTGATGACTGAGTTTTCTTCAATATGATCAAATGATGAAAAGTTATGGACTATCATAGAAGACGTTTGTAATGAACAATGTTCGAGCATGTTTTAGTTGAAAAATTCCAGCAATGAATAATCTTTCTTCATTTTGTTTTCTTTTCTGTTTGTTCCTTCGCATGACGGGAGATATACAGGTAATTTCTTTTAATAAGGATTTCTTTACGTTTTCATTTTTCTTGTTCTTTAGTTTTACGTTCTTTTAAAGCGCAGTCTTATTGTCAAAATAAACCTTGTAGAGTATCGAAGTAACGCACGTACTATTTTACAATAATATTCAACTATATCCTCAACCGAACTTGAATGAAATGCTGATTTTTTTTTTTTATTAATATATTAGCAAACAGGTAGGTATCTATGAGCAATACAGTAAGTTGAAGTTAGAAATTCTCTAGTACCATTGACCATTGGTTTTCGCTTTTTATCGTTGCATGCCTTATAACGAGCTACCATCGTTCGCTCAGTCAATAATACAAACTATAGCAAAGCTGTTTTGATCACACAGACAACTCGAGCGAGCACATTGTTCGTGTTTAATTGAAAACGCGAGCGAGTTTCTTTTAATTTCATTTTGACGTCTTCTCTGAGATCGACATAATTCACGCGTTTTTTTGCCTAAAGTTTGAATTTATGATTAGTTGAAAAAACGCTCCAATGAATGCTGTGGAAGTCACCGAGAAATTTTGCATATACCATCTAAGGTTCATCCAATTCGGTCCAGGGCAGAGCGAGCACCTGATTTTCTGAAGAGACGGTATATCTCATCGTCTAACATTCTTTCTACTAAAATAAATCTTTTGTTTTAGGCCTAAAACACGTTAATATTTCCCAACCTACTTTAGAAAGGTATTCAAAAGGTATTCTTTCTTCTCTTTTCACTTCACAAAAAGGAACAAGAAAACATATTTGCTCACTTCCAACAATGACTCATAATGACACAAACTTGTGCAATCACAGCATTCAGTCGTGACACGCACATATAAAAGTTTCCAACAAAACGCATCGATGTCGACGAACATTGCTACTCCATCTCTTCACACATTACCAGTGGAACTTCTCCATCGAGTTTTTGACCATCTCGATACACAGACAATTGTGTTGTCTGTTCGCCACGTGTGTCAACGATTAAAAGCGGTTACGGATTCCTACGAACGATATGTCCTGAACTTTAAATCAATTTTAAAGCCTATCTTTCACATTATTTGCCGCGCCATTCATCCTCAAAATGTCATTTCACTGACACTCTCCGACGATGCGGAAACACCAGGTCAAATTGAATTGTTTCTTTCGCTCATTCGCATCCGACAATTCAATCGACTTCGTTCGTTGACACTTTCTGCAATCGAACAGCGTCATCTAAACGTCATTTTGAAACGTATCATCACCATTTCGCTCGTGTCATTGTCACTCAATATTCAAAAGTATGACGATCGAAGAAGAAATACAACAGTGGCTCTACTATCGTCAGTTCTTGCGCAACCTAATCTTCGCAAGCTCAACTTGGACATTAATTATGGCAGAATAAAAAAGATAAAGTGGCCCGTTCAATGCACTGTTCAACACCTCACAATAAATGGATCGATAGAGTTTGATCAATTCTGTGCTATTCTCCATTGTTCGTCTCACCTTCGAACACTCATACTAGAAAACATTACTCACTTGAGACCTTCTGCCTCTATACCTTTCCAACAATTAACCTCATTGACATTTAAACAATTTTTCATAGAGATCGATAAGCTCGCATTACTTCTCTCACTAACACCTTCACTTGTCCATCTAAAGCTGATTAGTACGGAAAGCTTGCTTGACGGAAATCAATGGGAACAGTTCATTCAGGCATATCTACCCCTCCTAGACAAATTTGAATTTTTCTTCTCCAAGTGGAATTGGTTTACGCAAAACTCTGTTGACGTCGAGTTGTTAATTGCACAATTTCGAACACCTTTCTGGCTCGAACACAAACGTTGGTTTGTCACTTGTCAATATAACAGAGAAAACTCATTTCGAATCTTACTCTATTCTGTACCATTCTGTTGTTCGTCTCTAAAATACGAGCCCACACTGGAGAAAGTATCTACCTCAATGATAACTCATGACGATGATGCATCAATAATGGATAATGTGGAATACGTTTCTTTGCATTTAACAGAAGAAATGGTCACTAAACCGAAGGTATATCTTTCAACAAGAGTTTTCTAGTCACTTAACAAACGGCTGAGAAACGCCGCTTGTTCCAGCGCACATACTCCTTTTCGCTTATTATCACAGAAAGTACTGAAACCTCTTTTCCAAATTTACAAATGTTCAGCAACCCAGTAAGGGAGAAAGATGTCAGTATGTGAAAATTGCAAACGATGCGTTGCCTGAAATGATGAAAAAAAAACGAGTTTTCTAGATCGATTTCGTTCAGCATTCGCAGAATGCTGAAAACCGCAGCCAGCGCTGTTTTCTCTGCCGAGTTGTCTTTTGGATACACTTTTTTTTCAAGTCAACGGCTAAATTTGCACCGAATCGATTGTTTTTCATTATCTCAAGAAAGCGAGGTGTGACAGCTGTGATCGCATCAGATCACAGTAAGGTACAGGAAAAAATTAATATTTTGAGAAGACTCCGTTGTGTTTCGAGCCTGTTGATGCTGGCGCCGAAAGTAGACCAGCATCATTTGCCGAAGAATAAAGAAAATTCCTCCGATCAAATACATCCGATATAAAGAAAAAATTCTTACTTTTCTTGGGCAAGTGATCTTTGAACATCCCAAAGTCAATTTTGCTTTAGAGACCACCGTATCCATAGTCGTCTATTGTCTGCTTCTCTCTATGTTTATATAGATGGGACGACCGAGCCATCTTGTATTTCGCAAGGCGACCCAACTCAATCTTAGCCTAGAAAACGAATGGCCGCATGACTCACTCCAGTTTCTTTCGACAGTTATTGATCTCTCACAGCTTGTTCAACTCAAATTAGACGGTGTTAATCCTGATCCCACTATGATGGCTAACATGATGGGTGTTCTTAAACAAGCATACAA